AAACAATAAAGTCCCTAATGCCAAGCAAAAATTAGAAGAAAAAAAAATCATGATCCTCTTCAGGCAACTACAGGAGCACATAGTGGACATTCACTTTGTTAATCTATAAAATGCCCTTTGCAAAAAACAAAAGTGGATAAACAAATACTTTGCCAGCTATCTGCTCAGTGGGATCCCACCATTCCATACTATTAAGAAGTCGTTTTAAGCATTTCACACAGGAAGGAAAAACAAAACAAATCCTCAGGAGAAACCTTAAACAAGAACATTTCAAAAGAAAACAGTGTTGACTATAATGATAGAAATCAAAGAGAAAATTCAAAACTAAACACATGGTGAAAACATTGATCCAATAATCCCTGAAACCCCCCTGCAGAGTGTTTCATGATCATGAACGCAGAAGTGATAAAAAATGAGAGTTAGGTCAGGCTATGGTCACTGTGGGGACTCTGGTGACGCTGGCCCCAGCTGCTGTTTCAAATCCTTCTGGATCAGAGATATATCAAATTGAGGTCCATGGCCAAGCTTTAGAGAATCCTAAACTGAAATGGCAAGCAAACATTTAAGATTTAGTTGCCTTTTCCAAGGGTTCACAGTTTTCATCAAATTCTCAAAGGCTTCCATGATACCCATGACCTTCCCCCAAAAGTTGCTAAGGATGGTGTAAAACCATCTGCCACTTGTTTTAAAGAAATTCCTTCAAATACATTAACAAACATAAATGGAAATTACTTAGCAAGAAGAGTTTATATCAAAACAAATAGAGCTGGTATCAAGTTTCTTCCATGTACCACGAGACTTTTAGAACATATTATCATAATTATTTAAAAAATAAAGCGTAAGTTTACATTTTGTGAAAAGAGTTCTGAAAGGCATCAAAGAAATTATGTCAGCACGTTACTGAACAAATTCAGAAGAAAAAATAATAGTCTGTTTCTCAACCTTAGATAAGGCACTTTTAGGCATCTAAAATGATTTCTCAATGTCCAAATGTCTAGTGGCATTAGTCCCCGATCCAGATAATTAAAGGCTACCTTGTCTTCTATTCTGATGTTATGTTTTAGGAGTAGAACTCTGAGCGACCCACTCTCCTCTCCACATTGGGGAGAGATGTGACTGAGGGCTTGATTTGGGCAACCCCTTTCCTCTAGACACATACTGACAATCCCCCTAACATATTTAAGATAATTACATGAAAAGTCACCTGACTGATTCCTTCCCATAGGTGAGATGCCATAAATTCAGTGGCAGCAGGCAGAGGTTGACCTGTTAACCTCTCTCTTTCCCCTAAGGCACCAAAAGATTAATTCTGAAACTCTAAATAAAACTCAGAGACCTTGATGGGCACTGACACAGAAAGACCAATATTTCACTGCCTCTAATGTTTAATTAGCTACTTAATTGTGTAGCATAGGTGATATCTAGCATTGGTGATCAAAAAAGACTTCAGCCTGATTTGAACCAACTCTGAGGGGCTTGCTCAAAGCACCTCATCTACCTTGTGTCAAATTCAGAAGTTCCCTGCTGAGCCATCAGCAACAAGCATGAGAGTTTACAGACAGAACTGCACGTGGGGACCACACTGGAGCAATGTGCACTTTGAAAAGCAAAATCTTTAATGGCTGATGAAAAACATCATTCACGTGGAATTTAAGAGGTAAATGCATCCGTGTAAGTGCCAGGCATGTGCTATTTGGAATGTATACGTTGTGGAGAAAATAAAAAATGGGAAGATTAACGGAATAGAGAGCAAACATGAATTGCCCTCTGAAAGAGAAGTAGGCCAGTGTCAGTGTCGGTTGAGTTATTCCTAACCCTGTACCTTTTGTTGCACATGACTGAAGTTCTGGAATATTTTAGAACGCAAGCTGCTTTTAAAAAGAGATCTTTTCACTCTGGTAGGTCACATTACAGACCAGAGACCACAAATTTATTTCAAGTTCAATTTTTTGGTTTTCAAAATCACAAACGTAATTGTAAACACTCCTCCATGACTCCAAAATGGAGATATATGTCACATTGCTGAGAAATCTTTAGTTCCCAACATTATGAGGTATGAATTTTGTAGTTTAAGCCAGCAAATGGAGACACTACCCTATTTAAAAAGGGCTGCCTGACAACTCTAGGAAGACGTTTTGGTTGGAATACACATGTGGCCCAGCAGATAATGCTTCAGAAAGGCAGGCCAAGGCTGGGCTCTCCTTTTCACAAGAAATTTCCCCTCTTGATCTCCACACCACCCCCCACCTCCTCTGGGGCCTGGGCTAGGGCTAGGGCTCAGACATTTCCCAGACTATGTTCTGCTGCTGGACCCAAGACACAGGCAGGCAGAGAACTGGGACAGAGTCAAGTCCCACCACACGTTTTATGAATTACAGTGCCTGGGAGGCATCAGCTTTAAGGAGAGGCAAAGGCAGAGATAAAGAAAATGTGCAGAAAGTACATAAAGATAAATGCCTGTAAAATCACTGTTGGTTTAATGCATTCCATATTGAGGAAATAAAAATGTGAATATTCCTGGTGATTTAATGGCAATAGCATCCAGCTAAGACCTGTTTGTCCAACTAGACAATTATGTTATTTTTATGCAAATATTTATAGTAGCTGATGCTGATTTTCAATTACAGTTCTGGGGAGCTAATATAGTACAGAAAAATGCCTTCTAAATGTGGGCACATCACTTTCCCTCATGAAATCTAATAAAGATGGGACAGATCTCCTGTGGCCCAGCAGTGATTCCTCTCCACTGGCTGTGTGACTGTTTAATGCTACTAGACTAGCTTCTTCCTTCTGGCCCACTGTTGTACGAGATTGTTCTCAGTTGCTCATCTGTCAGACCTGGGTTCAAATCCTGACTTTGATTGTTATAAACTCTGCAACTTTGAGGAAGTTACTTAATCTGTATAAGTCACAGTTTTCTCATCTATAAAACGGGGATAATGATACTTTCTGTGTTGTGGGTAAGATTAAATGGTATACAGTATTACAGGTCAAGTGCTTAGCATAGTACCTGATAGACTAAGAGCATAAAATATACATAACCTATTATTATAATTATAATTACTATTATTAATATTATCTAGGGCATCCTCTCTATGGCACACTGCTTCTTGGAGCAGTGGACTAGGAGTCAGGAAACCTACATTACAGTTTTGTCTCTTTCTGACCACAGGACCAATCTCCAGAAGGTAGTTCAACATTTCAGGGTCCCAGCTTTCTCACCAATAAAAAGAGACATGATCGTATCTTCTCTGTGATCTCACACTAGCTTTTTAGGAAAAATTTTGTTCCTAAAATAAAGTTCCAAAATAGCCAGGTAGATACATCTAAAATTAACAGTGTTTTTAAGAATCAGTAGCTTGGCAGAACATTTCCACATTCTCAAATTAAAATGAAGCCCTTACGGATTTAAATTTGTATATTTGTCTCAGAAAAAAAAAATTCTTGATTTAAGTGCTAAAATTAGTCACACTGAATAAAAATCAGATTATCATCAAACTAATGCTAAGATTTTTAAATAAAATATTAATTCATTTGGAGTTTGAATATATTAAATACTATATTTGAAACTGTGGAAATTTTATTGAGAATTAACCTATCCATTTAATACAGAGCCACTTAACACTGAGAATTTGTTTTAGCACTCATCTGTTCATAATGATTTAACCATCTCACCTTACACCAGGACTTGGTAACTGCAAAGTGCAATACATATTTTTTTGTGTGTGTGTGAGGAAGACCAGCCCTGAGCTAACATCTGATGTCAATCCTCCTCTTTTTTGCTGAGGAAGACTGGCCCTGGGCTCACATCCATGCCCATCTTCCTCTACTTTATATGGGACACCGCCACAACATGGCTTAACAAGTGGTGTGTCGGTGCGTGCCCAGGATCCCAACCGGCAAACCCCAGGCCGCCGCAGCGGAGCTCGCGCACTTAACCACTTGCGCCACGGGGCCGGCCCCTGCAATACATTTTAATAGGTTGTCAGAGATTCATTTCTAATAAGAGTCAAGGTTACACAGCTGGCATGAAGCAAGGCAAAATTTGAACCCAGGTCTTTCTGCTGGTAAAGAACATGATCTTTCCACAAGACCATAAAGAGCTATTCTGCATATGTTTTGAAGTCCTTTAGGGCCTCACAAGTGTGTTGATCAGAGCTGGCAAACATTCACCGATTTATTCAAAATTTGCTGATCTCTTCCATATGGACTGAATCTAGGAAAGACAAATTCTGCCTTATTGCTGAACCAATAAGAAATCCTCAGAGGTAAGGGAGTTATGTAAGATTATTCAGAAATTCTTTCTTTATATGAAATATAGGAAAAAGCACTGATAGAAAGATTATTTTTAGAGTTCATACTATACATAAACAATAGGGACATGATTTATCTGAAATCTAAATACTCTGGAACCCTGCTATAACCCTCTTTGCTTTTAGACAGAATTTGCTATCAGGTAGGCCTGTCTTAGACCCCATTCAAATATATTTATTTACCAAATGCTGTAAGGTCCTCTTAAAAGATAAATCCCAAGATGAATTTGTTGTGGTGTGCTGAAAGACATCCAAAGGATATGAGGTCCTTTACATTTCTCCTATCTTAAATGAATTCCCAACTATATTCTTCCACATTCTTTGCTTGAAACAAACCTAAACCACAAATGCTTGTCTTCAAAGGGGAAAAACTGAGGTTTCAGGTAGTCAAAGCCTCAATTTCTCACATACTTTGCTGGCACAAATGTTAGATCATGGACATCACTCAAAAAAGCTGACCATTATTTTCTTAAACACAGAAGAAGCCCTCAAAAGATAAGCCAATTCCCTTCTGAGTATCCCACAGAAATACAACATTATCCCCAACAGGCCATATTCCTCAGACATAACTTGTTTCCAACATGAAATATGAATGTGCATTCCAAATCCACCACGACTTGAGATGGGCAACTAAGCAATCAATGTTCACTCACTGTTGACAACTCACAGGATGACTGCAAAATTTACCTCTCAAGTTCCGCAATCTTCTTGTCCTTGTCATTCTTTTCATTCTCCACCTCCTTGAGGATCTCCAGCAACCGGTCGACTTCCGCTTGGGCCTTGCCACACTCATCGCGGTAGTAAGATGCCTCTTTATCAAGCTGTTTTATTCGGTCTGCAAACTCGGGGTTCATCCTGGAGTCATCTTCAACATTATGAGCCTTCAACATTATATTTTTAAAGAATGTAGTTAAGACAACAGTTTAGAACAATAGATAGTGCAGTCACTAATGGCCCAGAAGTTAACTTGGGAGGAAAAAAAAATAACCACCAAGAATTATGGGTATACTGTCAGTTAAAAGGCAAAATGGAAAAATCACACATCTCAGTTACCTTAGCATTATGTTGATTTTAAGTTATATTAGAGTTTCACAGAGGAATTTCTCTTATTGTTGACATTTTGTTCCATTAAATGTTGCTACTTTTTGCTTTTTTTCCCACCAAAAAATGAGACTCTCATCTCACTGTGACGTCTCTATTCCTGGTGTTTTGGCAAGCAGAACTAAGACAATTCTACTCCTCACAGTTAAGGAGGTGATTCATACCAGCAGCTTCCTTTTCCAATACAGAGAAACTGAGATAAAACAATATTAAATTATTTTTCCAAGAAACACCAGAGGCATATGTAAAGCCAGGTAACATAGAAGAGAATGGTTGACTGATCATTGAACACTTCATCCCACTGAGAAATTTCAGCAGAAGACATTGTTTGAAAGAAAGGCTTGGAAGTGAGGAAGGGCTTTCCAGCTAACAGTCATACCCATAAATTCTTGTTCTCTTGATTAAATTTAACCTGAACCAGGAGGAGGATGAGCTAATTCATGAACAAGCACACAGACGAGAATCTGCAAACACATGCATGGGTGGGTGGCAGCTTTACACACAAGAACAGACACACGCAACAACACAGCAACAACACTGCAGAATAATTTGCAGCCAAAGTATTTGTGGTTTTCTGTGTGTGAGAGTGTTTTATTGCTTTTTTTTTCTTCCCAAAATAAACTTTTGGCTGAAATATTCCCAGACAGATGGAAATAACACTGCACTGCAATGTTTTGCCTACCCCTTGTTTCCCATTATTCCTAATTGACTTCTTCAAAGAGCAGGCAGAGAAAAAACAAGTAGTTTAACAACAGTGCACATTCAACAGAGAAAGTTCAGAGAAGTCATATATGTATGTATCTCTAAAATCCACATGTGAAATAATAAAATGTTAACAATTTATTAGGACTTAAGTCGTTCTGCTGTCTTGCTATGTATAGCAGATGTTCACTGTGTTTTTATACACTTTTTTTTCCCTTTAATTTCAGGGAAAAAACAAGACAAGCAAGCTATAGCTACTGTGGGGTCAAATGAATCATGCATGGTTAGAAAAATTAATACTAATACTACTGTTAGAAGATTGACAGTCTTTGCAATGATTTAGTAGAAAAAAATTCCAAAATTAGTATAAATAAAAATAAATTTATTTATGACAAAATAATTATTTTTAGAATAATATTTTTGCATGTAACATATTATTTAAGCATGAGGATAGAAGGGGAATAATTTTTCACATTCTTTAATCTAAGATTTCCTTATTCAAGAATTAAACTCAACTATGCAAAAGAACTGGGAAAAAATATATCAATTTAACATACTATCAAGTACTGGTTTACTCCCTTTTACCAACATTTCTCAGAAAATGGTTATTTTTAATTTATTTAGTATGTACACTGGGTTTCATTATAACCCATTAGTAAGTTTTTTCAGTAAAATTAAAATAATCTGAAAGACAATCTTGAGCTAATATGCCTTTAGGTGTTTACTTGTCTGATAATTTTATTTTAAATTGAAGTAATAAATATTTAAATTTGTTAATCTTCACTTTAAAACTGTAGAGTAGATACTTCTATTTTAGAAGAAAATAACAACTCCATATACCTACTTCTATTTGTGATAATAAGAATTAACTGGTTACTCTTGTAACAGAAGAGCATTTCAAATATACAGTTTTTAAATTGCTAAGAAAAAGAAAACAAAATTTTCCTGTTAATTCTCTTCCACTTTCACACTATATTATCATTATCTTATGGCAACTAAAAACTTTTTCATGACGTTGTTCTCAAACTACTTAGCTAATAATCTTTAAAAAAGAATTAATGCACTGAGTAATGAGTAGCTAGAAACACTCAAAACAAATGAATAAATATGTTTTGATTGCCTGTTTCTGACTTGAGTTAAAATTCCTTTCTTGAGTCTAATTTAAAGATTCACAAAGAGCTAAAAGTTAGCCTCTGTGCTTTTTTTTTTGGTTGTTTTTATTCTTATGATTTTTATTATCATTATTTTTAATAAATGGGTACAGGATTACTAGTTGCAAGACCTAGATTCTAAATCCAGCCCTATGTCTTATGACAGATGAATTAACCTCTCTAAGGACAGCAAAAACTACAAAATGAGAAACATGGGGAAGGTATTCTTCATTTGTTTTTATTACGATTATTATTTTATAATATGCATCCCATCAGTGGGGCTTGTTATATAGCTAAGTTAATAGGATTATTTAATTTTTATCAACAAGAAACTATACACATCTTCGAGAAGCCTCCCTGCTAGGTTTACAGAGAAGCATTCTGCTGGTGAGCACATTCCTTATTTTAGCTCCTTCAAGAGAAGATCATCCAAGGCCAGTTTTCAACATGGGGTGAAATTAGATGGGTTGGCAGTCTTTTCAACTCAAGAAGTGAGTATGGTTAAAGGACTCATGGGATGTTTAGAGGGACAGAAAGCCTAGGAAAAAACATAACTGAATCTAGACCACTGTTGACCTCATGTGACACTAAAGTTAAATTATGTTATTAAAACAAAAACCATAGCCAAGTTTACAGCTGGCCTGATGTCTATTAGATAATACTTGTGGATGCTAATCATTCTTCCTTTTAAAAGGAATAGACAACTTGAAGAATACCTTTGAGTTAAGTACATCTATCTATCTCCATATCAATATCTACTGATTTCTGAGCAAAAGAATTTAGGTCAAACAACTTCAATATTGGTATCAGAATTCTTGGAAGGGTTATTAAATAAAGGTGCAAATAGATATCATTTAAAAAATTTTTAAGTCAATAGAAAGCTGTAAGAAAGAGTCACAGAAAAATGGAAAAGTAACAGCTGCTTCTGGGTGATCGCTAGGATCCATGTGAACACTCAAGGGAAGAGAGAGTTTCACATGACTGAAAGCTGGTGAGTCCCTAATCCACCCTGAGCAGTGGAAGCAAAAGTCTCCGTGGAATTTATAAAAGATATGGCAGGTAACCAGCTCCATTCTGCCTGAATCACAACTTTTCAGGGAATGGGCCAAAATTACTAACCAGTATAGCATGAATGTGTTATACTGTGATCTACAAACATGGAGATGAGACTATACTAAAGAAATACAGGAGAAAATTGAGCTTACAAAGCCAATGCTTCCTTCAAAGTTACAAGGCCAGGGCCTCCTCTAAAAATGGAGTGAAGCATTTTATTTGCATTTCGGCAACATTCTTGCCTTTTCAAATTATAACATGGGTTCTTTAATCTGGGCTGGCAGCTCCTGATGGGGATCAAAAGCAGATAACAGATTTGGGCCTAATGTACTTTAGAGACTACAAAAAAATAATAAATATATTTTAAAAAATCATTATCTGAACAAATTCCTACCAGGACGTTCTGACCCATTCACATTTTAGACTGAAAATGCACAGTAATTACTTCCCCTTATGCATCTGTTGGTTTGAAATTAGCTCCCCTAAAAGGTCAGGAAACAATTGCCCATTCCACTCTTCTTAGGCATATCGACTTTGTCCATTAATCAGAAATCTAGCTCTTGAAAATGCAGATTGGTGTGGATTTTCTTTTAATGGTTTCAGAACTTACATATTATAAATATATCCAAGCACACTGTCACTTTCAAAGACATCCACCAGTCATTAAACCAAAGGAATATTAATGAATATTCTTTTCTTAATGTAGAGATTTAATTTTGCTGATTAAACAGGTCAGTTTAAAAGTAAATCCAGATATCTGATTCTGCCTCAAAATATTTCTGGTAACTTTTAGAGCAACTCCCAAGCATCTTAAAGAAACATAGAAAATTGGGAAAAAGAATATTTCAGAAATGTCTGTATAACATATTAGATCAGTAAGTTTTGAGAGTCCTCCAATTATGTTTCTTGCATTTCCATATGTAAGAAAATTTCCCCACAAATGGGAATAATCAAAACAAAGTTTGGAGCCTCACTGATGTGGGCAAGCCTTGGCATTTTGATGTGAACTAATTTTGAAAGCCTGAATCAAGCACAAAAGAGAAATCTGGTCATGACTTAGGACAAGTTGTACGTAACAATACCTAGTGTTTATTTTAATGAAAGAATTTAGAACTATTTCAGAAAATAAGGCAAAATTTCAGATTAATACTATATCTAAATCAAAGCTAACAGCAAAAAGCGGCTAAAGCCAAACCAGGGATTGATAGTATCAATATGACAAATCACAAGCTTATTTAAACTCCTCTTGTGAAGGTTGGTCATTGATTATTTTCAATAAAATGCTAATTCATCATTCCAAGTGGCTCGAAAAGAAAGCATTAACTTTGATCCAGAAACCTGCTGTGAAACTAGGCAGGGAATATTTAATTATAGTATTATGTAACATTCTCTCTTTGAAATGGACCCTAACAATTTTAATAAAAAATCTATTATCTCAAAATAAACAAATGATTAGTTATGACCATAAAGTCCAAGCAGAACACTAACTGATGAATCTGATGACTTTTCTTCCATGCTGCTTATGGGTTTTAGCAATAATTTGCTAAATTTATTCACTGTAGAAATACGACTTTTGATTGCAGCGCTTGGGGAGTTTAGTGTCTGTTAATAGCACTTTAACATTCCTTTCATATCTTAACAGCAGAACAGAGTATATAAACTACTTTAAACATTATATTTGATTTCAATCTTCTAAAGAAGTTACAATCTTCACATAATTCTGAGTTATGAACAAAACATTACTTTTTAAAATAAAGTTTTTAAGAGTGATTACAGAACTCCAACGTGTTATAAAATTTAAATTTTACTTTAAATCCAATTAATTAATACCAAATACAATAATTGAGTCTAAATAACACATTTGCAAACTAATAGTGATGTATCTTTGAATCTTATACTACCTAGTTCTAAAGGAAATTATTCTTTCACAATTCTAGCTACCTCCAGAATATTCATAATTTGCATATTATAATAACTATTCCAAAAAGAAATTTCTTGTCATAGATGGAACAAATAGCATATTTATAAATAAGCATAAACAAATACTCAAAATAATTTTTCTTATGTCACACATACCAAAAAATAAAAAGATCAACTGTATGCTTAAAACTTTTTAGGACCCTTCAAACAAAAATATAATTATTAATGTAATACCTTTTAACTATGCAATTTCCTAAAATTAGCAATGTAGAGAACTGAGGTAATCATCTGGATGCTCTGAAACAAAGCATGTGACTTCAAATCTTAAGTGTTATTTCAAATATTGCTTGAGTTCATTAGAGATTAAAAGCCTGGATCAAGTGTGAGGAGTGTGTGTTTGTGTGCATGTGTTTGTATATCCTATGTGTATGCCCTGAATTATCTCTTAAATAGCTATAATTTTCCATTGCGTCAGGGGGACTAGTCTAAGAGAGAATAAAATAATTTTCAGAAATAGACTTAAAAAAATCATAAAAAGAAACCACTGTACCTAGACAAGGACTGTGAAAACATTTATAATTCAGCTCATCATGTCCCTAGGATTGCACAGTCCTATAATGACATGTAAATCAGGAAGACTTCAGTGAACGTTAACAAGATTTTTTCTTCTCTCTGGACCAGAAAAATACTTGGTCTTTTTCTTGTAAACTCTTATGTAAAATGTGAGCCCTGCAAAAGATGCATTTGCAGAAGAGATGGGATATCAACGGATAATGACCAGGAGTGGGGGGACTTGTATGTATGTGGGAACATCAGAGGAGTTTCAAGCGTGCCCTGGCCCACAGCAAGATTGCCCCCAGTGCCTCCAAATCAGTCATTTGCCTTGTAGCAATGAGGATATTACATGAAGCACTAAATTTAGGATCCAGAAGGTCTAACAATTTATTAAAAATTTATAAGATACTGGATACTATCTCTGGGCACAGTAACTACTACAGCAACGAAAGTATTTGAGACTGATGAAAAAACCATGTTATTTGTCTAGAATTAAGAACTAAGGGAAGAAAAGAACTCAACTGAAGATAACCTGCACAGCATTTATAATGACAAGAGAAAACTCCTCCAGGAGTGGAGACTGGTAGTTAAGCTACAGAAAGGTTATTATTACAACACATAATAAGGATACAAAGGCAAAATTTTAGATTCCTAAGAAACGGCATTAGAGTATCATTTAGTAAAATGGAATGACTAAAGCAAAAATAAAAGGTTTTTTAAAGTAGAAGCTTTATTTCTACTCTAGGGAAAAAATACTCCCAGGAGGACTTCAAAGCTTAATCCTTATTTACTCTGATTTATTTTAGACTGATGGACATAGGACTGACTATAAATTATCTTATTTAACAAAATTCACCAAAATTTGTAGGGTTGCTATGTTCAAAATAAATATACAAGAATAAAAGAAATATCCTAGGTACCAACAACTGGTTAGAAAATAAAAGGAGAAATATAGCATTCATAACAGTAACCTAAAAATTATATACATAGTAATGCTTAGGACTATCCTTAAAAAGAAATATCATAGGCCTACAATAGGAAAATGTCAAAACTTTACTGAAAAGATCACTGAAATACATAAAAGTTGTATCAAGTTCATGAATGGGAAGAAACAATATTTGAAAGATATTAATCATTCTAAAATTATTTTATAGGTTGAATATAATTCAAATGAAAATCACCAACAATTGCGCCTCTTAATTGACAAGGTGATCCTAAAGTTTACTTGGAATGATAGAAAATTAAAGGCTAAGAATATTAAAACAAAACAAGACAAAATGAGAAGCATAGAGAATTAGGGTGGAATTTGTTTCACTAGATGTTTAAAAATATATAACGCCACAATAATTAAAATTCTGACCCAACAAACAACAGACTGTGATAAAACTGAACAGAAGCTCAGAAACTAAGATGTCTGTCCATATGAGAACTTAGTGTACAATAAAATAGTATCAAGATCAGTGGATAAAGAAAGAATTATTTGATAAACAGTGCTGGAATAATTAGTTGACCATTTAGAAAAATATAAAGTTAGAACCTCACCACTCAACATAAATCAAAATAAACTAAAGATAGATAAAGGGGTTAAATTGATGTAAAAAGTAACATTAAAATATTTTAAAATATAGATGAGTGTCTATTCTTGAAATCAGAGAATGACTTCTAAGCATAAAAGCAATGAGGAAATCCTAAAGGGAAATACAGGTTAAGAAACCTAAAACCAGTTCTCTTCATAAAAAAATTTAAGTTAAAATGTTCCCACAAATCTGACAAAGGCTCTATATAAAGCATAGAATAACTCATACAAACCAATAAACAAAACACTAAACTCAAAAACATGTGCTTAAATGACTTAAAGAAACAATTTACAGAAGAAAAATATAAATAGCTAATAAATGTATAAAAAACCTCAACCACACTAGTAATTAAAGAAAGGAAAGTTAAAATGAGAAAAAAAATTGCACCTAGGCATTTGCAAAAGTTATGTAAAATGACGTTCTTGGTGTTGGTTGAGGTGTGGCAGAAAGGCTGCCTTTATTCAGTGCTGGAAGAAACATGCCTTGGTAGGACTTCTCTAAAATGTAACATAGCAGGAAGTATTGGGAGCTTTTTAAAATCATTTGCCCAGGAACTTATTCTATGAAAAAAATAGAAATGTTATACTAGGAGAAAAAAAAAAAGAAAGAAATGACCAACATTAGGGGAATGAGTAAATAGAGTGGAGTATCATACAATCATTAAAATAGAGTTAGGGAAGAAGAGCTAATTATATGAGAAAATTCTGATCATATGTTATTAAAAATAGGATATAAAACTGAATAAACACTTTGACACAATTTGGTGAAAAGAAATAGAGTATTAGACAAGAAAAAAGAAAGAGAAAAGAGAAGAAAGGAGAGAGGGAGAGAGAAAGGGAAGGAAAAAAGGAAGCAAGAAGGAGGAAGAGAGGGAAGGAGGGGAAAGGAAAGAGGGATAAGGGAGACAGAAGAGAACAATAACAACCAAAAGATGTCTGGGTCGGGAAAAACCCAATGTTCCTATCACTCTGCAGTGAGAAGTCCTGTTATTTTTATTTTCTCCTATGTCCTTCCATACTTTTGCAAATTCTCCACTGTGATCATTCATTATTTTATAACCAGAAAAACATAGTCATTGTTTAACAGACTATTAAGGATATAAAATCCACCATGCCACGTTCCTATCAGTCCAAAAAAGAATTGGACCCTGAGAATATCTGCAGATAGGCGGAGTTAAAATAACGAGAGTTTGGCTATATTCCCAGGATGCCAAAACAAGGGGTTAGCTTAATTTACTCGGGAAGAAAAGTCAGTCAATGACTTTTGAATTAGTCACCTAAAGGACAGAAAAGTTCGTTCTTGCATCTTGAAGACCCATCACTGGGGAGAAACGAAGGCAAAGTCCATTAAGTGCCATGTCATCAATATTTCTGGAAATGGTCTAAAAGTTAGCAGAGCTATTTCTTGGCCCTACCTATCCTGACAGGGATGGTGAACTCCTATCGGGTCCTGGTAAATCTTTGCTGCTGTGGAAACAAAGCTCTCCCCAATTGTCCTGCACACATCCAAAATGTAACATACTTAGGTTTTCTCCTGTCCTTAACTAGTAAGTGTGAAACGATTTCAGTGGGATTACTTTACACCTTTTTAAAATGATCTAAAGAAAACACTCATTTTTCCCAGGGTCAATTTTCAAGCTTGAAGATAATCCAATCTTATTTGTCTTTCTTCACCTCTCCATTGTCTTGAGCCTGCTTATTAACACTTCCATTCAAATGTTAAGGGAAAGGAAACTTGGATGATTTTTACTGCTTTGCTAAAAATCATATTGGGGGAAGGAGGTCAATAAAGATGCTCCAACAGGGCTTGAGGAATTCTGTTTGCTAAAATAGAATTTGTTTTAAAGAATAGAGGGTGGAGGCTGAATCTAATTAAATACACCCCAGCGTCTTGTGTATCATGCTGTACGTATTCTGGAACGGAGGCTTAACAAAAAGCTGTTGGCTAGACTGTTGCCTTTATCCATGCTATTCCTTTTCCCCAGGATGGGAATTTACAAATAGGAGGTAATTAGAATGCCTGATAGCACAGATCATATCTGCCAAATGACAAATCCTGGTCAGCTTTATGTAATATTTCTCCCAGTTGAGTTGACAAAACAAAAAAACCTTTCCTCTCTTAATCAGTTAAAGAAACAAATGGCTTCATATAAATGCACACCTATCATTAGGATAAAAAAAATTAGTGGTGGCATCTGGGCTGTTTTACACACATTTTTACTAGTTTTTTGTACTATTAAGCTCTAATCAGAATTGTTACTATCTGTTATTAGAGGCTATATTTTAGTTTGTCCTCAGCCAAATGACATGTTTTTAACTCTTACAAAACCCACAATAATGTTAGGCATGTACCGTTCTCAAAGAACATGGCCCTATTTTTAAATCTAAATCTATTTTAACTTCTAGCACTTGAATGTAACATACACTAAGTTGCTTGTTATTTTACAAATGCTATCCCTTTTGGCATAGATAAGTCTGCATTTGAAGTATCTAAGAAAGAATTCCATGGGCCTAGATCTGCAGCTGACTTCTACTTTTCTAAAGCCTTAGAGTTGAAGTTAAGAAAAAGGTAATATCAGAGCTGGTAATATTTCCTTGAGTTCTTAATTTTTAAATTTCACGTTCAAAAGAAATGGCAGTGGCCTCTGCAGAGGTCATTTCTTTCGACAGAACGGAAATGGGAAGAGACTCATAAATATTTTCAAAACCTCCCCAGTATGGACACTGTGACATGTGATCAATGGATCCTCATGCTTTGATATGTTACAGCGGGAACTTGCAGAAATGACTTACTGGGTTGTACATCTGATTGAACAACTGCTCAGCTTGCTACATTGCAAAGTTGGGGAGGCATTGAAGCACAGACAGGGAAAGAAGGAAAGATCCAGAAAAACAGCATTAGCTTAACAAATCCAGTGCATTTGCACAGACGAACTGGTCGTTAAAGAAGAAGAAATTTCAGTTTCTAAACATTCCACAGTGAAAGTGAGAGGCTCTAGGGAAATAGAAATGTTGACTTTGGCTCCTAAAAAAGAATAGCTGGAATAAGAAATTTAAGGTTTGTGTTACTTTCCCTTTCTCAAGTTAAATAACCCATGAAATAAAGAAAGCTGTCCGCTTTTGATGATACATGAAGTGTTGGCCTCTAGCAATGAATCAGAAGAAGTACTTTTGGGCAAGCTTGCAGTTTATTACCTGAACTTCAAAGATGGTAATAATAAAAGATTAATTAAATCTTATCATTGAATTTATAGCTCTTCTTTTATATTAACACAAGCCTGAATTTTCTATTCAGTGTAACTTTAGAAAAATATCAGCAAACAGCAGGTTAGCAATAGCAAAATATCAGTAAGCAAGACATTACAGGATTAACAGTAAATGGGAGAAGAAAAAATTCAAGTCAGCAGGAAGAATAGAGGGAACCAAAATACAGGATTATCCATTGCCCACTACCAGTTCCTAGTGTGAGTTCATGATTAATAAAAAATGTAATTTTTAGTGACTATCTTATTATGTTCCAAGTGCTTTAGAATCTGTAATGCTCTCCTGTCTATTTTGTGTAGAAGATTTAAATGTTTGTGGATTTAAATATACTAAATAATTTTAAATAGCACTCTCAGGCTGTATCTCATTATTAATTGGGGCCTGAATCATTAATTTGGGGCTCAACATCAAAGTGTAGAAGGTGAAATACTATAGGAGCCTTTACTTTGCCAAGCTAAGACATGCGCCTTTGAAGAGCCTGAATTTTCTGTTTCTTCAAGTTTTTACCATGGTTGAAAAAAAAACACCCTCCTCAAACATGATATTAATTGGAAAATTACCAAATAGCACAAATCATAACATTTTGAATTGCTATTGCTTCTCAACTGATTTCTATTCACATAGAGTAAATTGACTTCTACATTTTAATCACCAAATACTCTTCTGAAAAACAAAATGATCCACATGTTGCTAATCAGGTTCTTCTGAACCCCTGGGTGTCTATTTAAGACTAATGAATGCACTAATTTATAAAGCACACTCATAAGATAATGCATAGTAGTTATGCATTATTTGGTTAGTATCATTTATCAGCCTCATTAATATCAGCAAAGATTTCCTCACACATGAATATTTGCACTGTTTTTAAGAGGTGGGATGCAATGTGTAAGGAATAGTTCCTTTTCTGCTTATAACCATTTTTCATCACAAAGTATTTGAAGGTGTCTTAAATTAATACAGTATAGTAAAGGGTTAAAAGCAACTACGTGTGTGAATGTTCCCACAAACTTTTATGTAAAAACTCATCTTTACCAATGTCAAGCATTGTTCATAAGACAAAAACAAATTTAAATCGCCATTTGGATTCCACTGTCACTGGCAGAAAAGGTTTTTGTTCAGCTAAACACATCTATGATGTTGTGTAGATTTTATGGCAAAAATACCTGGACGCTCACAAATCTTGAGCAAAATTCCATTGGGAATTCATGGTTTATTTATGACATAATAAAACTATTATGTTTTCAGCTTCCATTTAGTAACCCTTTACATTTTATTCACAAGTCACATACCCTTTTATTTAAAAGGAGGCCCAGACACTCCTTAAGCTTTTATAGCTGCTTATTTTTCCATGAGTAAATGATGTGTTTATATGTATATTCACATACTGTTGGCTTATATTTTCAAATATTTCATGTAGATCTCAATTCTTTTTAAGGTGATGGGTATTTGAGGTTTTTATAGAACTATTTATTAGCATAAATTAAAGACTACTAGAAAAGGTATTTTAAACTTTTGAATTTAGTTGATGCTAGAGAGCCAAAAACAACAAAACAGCATCTGCAGGTTAGGTATAAAAATATTTAAAATATAATTACCTTATTTAATCTCACTGTACTGTGCATTTAGGAAATAGTATAATGATTATTTATATACTTAGAAATAAGTTATCTTTTCATAAATTAAATAGGTCCTTTACAGCAAGACAACCATATTTGTTACTTTAATCCTGATGACGTGGCAGAATGTTAAAACGTTGTCAGGAATATGCTAAAATGTTTACAGGATTTAGTCTGTGAATTTCACTATGTGGCGTCTACCTGAGAGTCTAGGAAAACCACATGCTCATAATGTAAGTCATTTTTTCGGGCGAACCATAGCTATGTTGAAAGAAACTAAATTGAACTACATAGATGTTGATTTATTAAACTAGTCAAATCATATACATGGAAACTATAAGCCTCAATACGTGAATTTCTTCCTTTTAATTACTAGAGGATTTCAAATTCCATAGGTGACTTACACTAAAAAGGAGAGTGTCAAGTATGTATCTGCAGAAATAATATATGGGGTGCCCTCATCTCCATAATGGCCCCTCAGAGTTGACGAAGGGCATCTTTCATCCCCAGGTCTATTGGAGGTCCTCCTTCTTCCGGACTCAGTATACCGCAATTGAGGTAAGATAACGCAAAGGACCACCACAGAGAGCCAATGAAGTTCTCTCTTTCACAGAGTTCTCTTAGAGCCTGCCTTATGATCACAAAACTATACATTAAATAAAAAGTACCTTTCATAGGTTCATTTCTTGATATACACGGGCATGTATAATATATTGCAGAACACATTCATATATATGTCAAGAATGTATATCATACACTCAATGCATAAATTGCCAAGTCAATCTCCATTTAAACCTCAAATGGGCAATTTAAATTCTTCTATTTATTGTTCAAGATTTCTGCTTAACTAGATATTGCTTGAAAAAAATGAGATGAGTGGATCGGGAAGTAGATTTTGCTATATACAGTTTTCTTGCTGTTTTGCTGTAAAAGGATTTGATCTGTATATTTATCTTTTCCTGCATTAGTAAGGAGACTTTATTAGTGTGAAATTTCTCATGACAATTTCCTAAAATTCCATGGTAAAGTGAACATGGTATAATTACATTACAGTTATATATTGCATCATACAAAATAGTATATTAAATTTTAAAATATCTGCAATAATTTCTCCACAGATATAGGATGCTTTCACATCCCTATCATCCATACGATATATTTTCATAACTTTAGCAAATAAATCCCCATTCTAGTGTGCTATGAATTATACATAGTCAAATTTTATTATATGCTTTGTTCGATTGTTTAGATTATCATCTCTTTTGAATAAGTTTATAAGTTGCCAAAGGGAAACAAAATGCTTAAACTCATAATGTTATGAGTTTTATATGAACAATGAGTGCAGACGTACCAAACAACACAGGGAAAAAGTCAAAGGAACAATGCATGACTGGAAATGTACTCCACAAAAATGTCCAGTTCAGAAAAAACATGTTAATGCTTCAATGTAAAGATCCTGTTTTCTTTTCCAAAGCTTCTACACACAACAAGCTTTCTTAGACATAAGGCCATTTTTGGTCAAGTATAAATAATCATGCAACAGATATTCTAGGGTCTTGACTATTTTGGTGAACTTCTTGAAGTTTAATGTTGTCAGGTAAACTTTTACAAAGTTCCAGTACAAAAATTGACCTACTTCTGAAAGTAGTAAAAATTTATCAGCATATAATAGGGCCCCTGGATTCTGTGGTTTGTTGCAAACATTTCCATTTATCTTTTTTAATAGTTAAGATTTGCCCAGAGAGTAACGGCTCGTTTTTAGAATATTTTTCAGTACCACTACTATTTTCATCTATTTTTCAAGTTTTTTTCAGACAGGAAACCTAAGATAACTTTTCAGGTTCACAGACAGATTTGATACAGACTTCTTAGGAATAAAGTTAAGAGTGTTTAATTAATTCTTTTATCAGCAGACAGGAAAAGATAAGGGGTTTGTTTGTTTTGAAAAATGTCTCTTCCTTTCCCATTTTATAAATTCATTGTAAAATGAACACGCTTTTTCTTAGACTTCGCTTACCTTTTTTAACTGTGCTTCCAATTTGCTACATTCTTCTTTCTTTTGTTCAATGGCTATTTCTAGAGATTTTAATTTGGAGTCCCTTTTCAGCCCTGCTGAGGCTAATGAAGATGCATGTTCCTTGAGGTCAATTAAACTAGACTGGAAGGAAAAGAACACTAGTAAGTAAAACACTGCAATTTCTACCAGCAATGTCTTCAATTTGAAAACATTGATTCTATACATAGCAATAAAGTGTGCATTAGACAGAAAGGGTAAATATAGTCTTACTAAGGTAACAATAGTCGGCTCTGGCCAGGAAATTAAAGTTGGCCAGCTTACAGAACCAAGCAGGATCTAATTGCAGTAGAATCAAATGTGACCAAATGGTGTGGTCAGTAAATGCATGATTCACGTCTCAAAGTCATACTAATGATGTAAGTCCCAAGGTGGTCTTTACATGTCATGGCAAAACAGACACCCTGAACCTTCCATTTACATTTATTGCTGTCAGGTCATGCAGACTCTAAGACAAATATGAAAGAAAATACCGACTTTAATGCCTTTTCTCCCCCAAAGGACAAATCAAGTATAAAAGAAGCATCCTATTAAGTTTTTATTGAATTCTATTTCTTTAACAGAAAAATGACCAACAGTTTTTCAAACATCTTCTGTAGAATCAAAGATAAAATTATATTAAAATTTAGAGTAGACTTTATGTTCCAGTCCTTGTAAATCTAGATTCAGCAGATATATGAATCTCCACAGCTCAGACATAGGGTTACCTAAATTGTTCCATTCATCAATCACACCCAGAAACCAAGAGCTTCCCTGTATAGTCCGAATTCCAAAAAATAAAGAAATAAATACTTGCATATATCACAAAACATAACTTGGTTAGCTAGGAGGGTAATGTCCATCACCAAACATGAAATGGTTAGCAACATCTAACTATGTGACTAAAATATTCAGGTTTCACCCAAAATCAGACACTGTGCATTTCCTTTATATCCATTTGCAGCACCTAGAAAGACACTAAGTACACAGTGGCCACTCAGTAAATGATGTTGCTGAATATTTTACATTTGGCTGCTTCATGGGCACTGGAATAACCTTATTGGTGAAGATACCACCACCAACACCCAGCAAACAACCCAGCTCCTAACAACCCTCTGAGGGACAGGTTAGCCATTCTTACTTTTTATGGTAAGGAAACTGAGGCTCACATGAGCTGGGTGTCTTCTCCAAGGTTCCTGAGCTATTAAAGGGAAATATAGGTCTCAAACCCAGGACTCTGACTCCAATCTCAATGCTCTTTATCATATCACTCCCACAGAAATAATAAAGGACCTTATAATCCAGGTATTTTGTCATGGTGAAGATTATTATCACCCCAACTAAATTATAAGCTCCCTGCTGACAACAATTATATGTCGTTTTTTTTTATAAATTTAAAATTGCTGAGTGTGATAGCTTTATGTGCCAACTTGGCTAGGCTCTAGTCCTCTATTATTCAATCAAACACTAATCTAGGTGTTACTGTGAAGGTATTTTATACACGTGACTAACATCTCCAATCAGTTGACTTTAAGTAAAGGATATTATTTTCCACCACCTGGGTGGGCCTGATCCTATCAGTTGAAAGGCCTTAGGAGCAGAACTGAGGTTTCCCTGAGAAAGAAGAAATCCCACCTGTGGACTGCAGCATCAGCTCCTGCCGGAGTTTCCAGCCTGCCCTTCCTGATGGCCTGCCCTGTGAATTTTGGACTTGCCTAGTCAGCCCCCATAACTATGTAAGCCAATTCCTTGCAATAAATTTCTTAATATGGTTAAATTTCTTAATATGATTCTGTTTTTCTGGTGGAACCTTAACTGACACACACAGCTCAGGGGCAGGCACATTATTATACAGGAACAATAAATGTGTGCTGAAATGCCTGTCTGAAATTCATACAATGTAGGCATTGTTTACAAAATTATTTTCATTTAAAGCTTATGCTTTACCATGTCATCAAGATCTCTTTTCAATTAGAAGTATATATATTGATTTTAAGGTGAAAACCCATGAATAATACTTGAAATCAGTGAAGAATGCTGCAAATAAGGTCAAAGCTCCAGTGCCTTCCCTCGTATACCAGCCACAGTAATTACAGATCCCTCAAATTGGATTTAGCAGTGAAATGGTAGGAAGAGGATTTACAGTCTTTATTTTCATAACAAAGAAATAATCTCCTCTCTAAAAAACTAGTGGGCTTAAAATTAAGGAATACGAATTTTGCTTCTGAGTTTCCTCAAAACTCCTATTACTCATCAACTCTTCCCCTCTTGGATTCCTAATTTAGACAGTACTTTAATTTGTATAGAATTATCAAAACCGAAGGGCTGAGGTAACACTGTGGAGCTGGAAAACGGACAAGTCTGCAGTGAATAGCCCAGCAGGGTAAAAAGACCTGTAACAGCCCTAAAGGAGATGGACATTTCCTACAGACAAAAATACATGTGAAGGGACCAGTTGTGGACAATGACATATACCTCAGAATTCTGGAGACTGAATAAAACAATGTGCATTGCTGCTTCTCGAACTTCTCCACTGACATATCCCTAAGTGAACTAAAGGGATTATAGGTACCCCTCGGAATATGAGGGGTATAGCCCAAAGCATCTTCTCCATAATCCCCAAGCAAGAAATTTATTTAACATATATTATTTTACTTTAAAAATGCAGGTGAGATTTGTATTCTGTATCCATGTTTGCTCTAGCATAAACATATTGTTTTAAATTATTTGCCATAATGTGAAAATGATATTCCAGAAGAGCAGCCACGTTTAACCTATACTTTGAATCCAGCATGGTACCACATCTCCTAACCTGGGGGTATAGAGTGATTCATTTGAGAAGCACAGATGAAAGTAAAGCACTCAACAAGTAAAGCACTCAACACAAGGATTAGCACCTAACAGGCTCTCAATAAAGTGGAGTGGTTATTATTATTATCGACACTATTGTTATCTCAAGGAAAAGATCATGGGACATTGAAAAAAATATAGAATTCTCTAAGCCATACAAATGTGATAAGACATCAAGAAAAGTTTCAAGGAGCTACATTGTATGCAGTTAGTAGAGTAGAGAAAATAGGCATGGGCATCACCAATGAAGGGAGTTACAGCGAATATTTTCCTTTGAATTCAGACCGCTCTACAAAGGAAAGGTAACTATTTTCCCCAAGCCTTCACACAGTCCCTCAAACTAAGTCTCTAGTCTCTCGAGGCTACCATGAATATGAGCTTATGAGGGCTATCGACATGATTCATCTGTTTTTCCAGACTCACCTCTTTTTCAGTCAGTTCAGCTTGTAAAGCATTGACCTTCTCTTTCAGGTCTTTGTTCTCTTTTCGGAAGGACTCTATCTCTTCTAGCCTTTCCCGATCATCTCTCTCCCGCTGTTCTTTCAAACGCTCAATTATTCTCTCCTGTAAGGCAATTGTCAAAAAGAAGAGGTGAGAACCCATCACTGTGTGTGCCAAGGCAAGCTACAAAAGGGAATTAGAGGCAATAAATGTAAGAAATGCTCTACAGGAATAAACACACACAAAGATATTCAAAATTGGGTTTGTGAAGAGAGGCCATGTAAAACAGCATTTGAGAAAGACAATCATTACTGCTTTTGGCTTGTTAATAATAGTTAGCATCATAGGGTTGCAAGGGACCTTAATGTTCAAGCTCTAAGGCTATTCTTGGTTCATGATGGTAGCTGGAAAATTCCAAGAGCAGTTCCAGAAAAGGGAAGTTCAGGTACCAAGACTCTAGACTTGCCAAAGCCTTGTACCGGCAAGAGGAAGAAGCAGAACCAATCTCTTGGTTCAATCTTTGCTTGGCTTTCCCATTTGATGTCAAAGAACCTTCCTTGGTTTCTGAAGACTCTTCTCTGGCTAGAAAGGGGATCAAAGTAGGGCAGGAGCTAGGCCTTCCAGTACTTAGGGCTGGACTCACAGTGAGAACTTGAGACAAAAGAAAGAATGAACTCATTGTATAAGTGATTTTCCAATGTGTCTGGAGATGTTTATTTACTTCCATATTTTTTCAATGGCTTCTTGACAATCAGTAGAGACTCTCAAACATTGCTTGAATTTGAGCACCTTCCATTTATTGAGAGGTTACTACACGCTAGGCGCTGTGATGTGCTCTCATCTAGTTCTTATCACAACTGCAAGGACTGAACCAGTGCTACTGGTAACAGGGTAGAGGTGAGGAAACCCAGACTCAGAGAGGTTGGCTGACTCATGCAAGGTGATCTAGCTCATAAACAGAAGGCCCAGCCTGGCATCCCGGGCTCTCTGAGTCTTAGCCATGCCCATGAGACCACAGTGCCACAGACATATGCCTAGAGCCATTCAAGGAGATCTGAGGAGCTTTCTGCCCTTGACTTTCACACTGAAATGAAAACACTACTCTGGTAGACATGTTTTCCAAAAATGTGGAACATTACCAATATCAAAATAAGAACCTTCTTTTTTTAAGGAAAATTCCATTTGGGTAAAATTTGAGTTAGATTTATGAAATTTATTTCAAATTACCCAACACACACCTAACTTCCTTTTACAGGGTCATGTTAAAAAATATTAGTGCAACAACAATGCTTAAGGATCCTGGTATTATCTTTTATAGTACAAGGCAATGCCTGACACATAAGACAACTGTAAAACAGTGTTTGATGCAGAGGTAAGTTAGTTTGAACACTTAGCCTGTGATTTAAGATCCCCCAAGGAAGCAACTGTTCTACCCCAATGACAATAATTTACGTATCTAATGCTTTCAAGGAAAAAAAAACGACCATAATTGTTTTGCAATTATTTAAAAACACTTTTAAATGAAGTACATTATTACAACAGTGGGGGAAATAGAAAAACTGAGTCTACTAATTGCCTGTATTTGTTTCTTCTTGATTCCAGCTATAGTCTTACTTTACTCTGTCTGTGACATTGATGAGTGGATGATTATGTGATCTACAAAAGAAGGAAATGGCCTCCATGCATGGTGAGTCTCTCCAGGGCTTTTAACAATTTCAGCAACTGAGCCCTTACTGCCTTTTGGCTACACTTATTGCAAAAGCGTCACAACTGGTCACTCGGCCACCAGGCCTTCTCCATCCCATCACTTCCAACCACATGGCTTGTTGGAGTGACATTTTAAAGCTCCAAACTGACCGCGTCACCTCAGTATTTGGAAACCTTCCCAGGGATCGCTCTGGCAAGATCATGTGGCATTTATTCCCACTCGGCACCCTTCACATGATTTTACTGTGTGTCCTTCCTCCCAGCCTAGCTTTCCAAAGGGCAGCACTCGAATCCTATGACTCTTTTAACCCAGGGCTGAGCAAACCGTCTGGCATACAACAGGCAATTAAGAAGGCTGATGGAAGGAATAAGAACTCAAATTAGGGATCATCTTCACTTCAAAGGGAGGAAAATAAAATTAAGTATGTATGTTAACATCCAGAAGGTGTCAGAGTCATTTGGAAAGTAGGTTAATTTACTCTAAGCACTTGTTCTATTGACTGGGCATCGATGACAAAAAAAATCAGCAAGCACTATAATGTTTTTAAGTGTTATTGATGATTCAATACTACAAAATATTTCTCTGTCAATCACAAAACTAATTTAACTGTCAGCCGCGCAGGGCCAGATGTCAAAAACATGTGTTAAAAGGCCCTAATATGCCATGATCTACTTGATTAACAACTAACTTGCAGAAATTCCAACAATGTGTTCTTATTTTAGTCTTATTTGCATTGGCAAGTGTTCCTTATGCACTCATCTGGCTCTGCACAGGTCTAATCTATTTGTGCTTTATCACTGGGCGGGAACTGAATTGTAGTAGCCTCCAGCTCTGCTATCTGCCTTTCTCAACTGCTTATCTGCTATGTGGCTACAGCAAGGCTTGGCGAGACCAGCTTTATAAATACTGTGGGTTCCGTCTCTTGAGCTTCTGTGTGTCAATCCTAAAACTAAGTCACACTCAATCTTAACTTGCTAAGCAGCATTATTTTTTGCACACTCTGAATATTTGAATAAGTTCCTGGAAATTAAAAGGAATAACACACTCCCTGGGATGTAATAATCCAAGTGGAATGGTGAATAGTGCCTAATGGGTTCTATTCATCAGCCAAAAGATAGCAAATAATTAAATGTTCTTATGAGTCCACGATTTTTAATTAATCATTTTATTTTTTTCACCATGTCTTGTTCCAGAGGATCTGTTCAATTAAATGGGGATAAAAATGGAACTTGTGAAGGAAAGGCCATTAAAGGAGATTGTGATGCTGTCAAAAGCACAAAGATCAGAAGGTTTGACTTTTAGTCCCATTCCATCACCCGTAAGTTGGGTGGCCTTGGGAAAGTCCAGGGGAGGTAACAAAGTCCCAACCAAAGGCCAACTTAGACAAAGTAGAAGTGGCTTCCTGGAGTGCTGGGTTGAGAAGTTAGCTTGTTCCATGGTTGATTAATGATGTCTGCCCAGGGCCCAGAAATGGGGAGTAGTGTTGCACATGTCCCAAATTTTCATTTCTGGGAAAGTCATTTCACCTCACTGAGCTCATTTCCCATCTTTCAAATGAAAGAGCATGGATTTAGTGTTTCTCAAAATGTAGTCTTCCAACCACTTACATCAGAATCACTGGGCACGCTTATCAAAAATCACAGATTCCTGGGCCCCACAAGAGAGCACCAAATCAGAATCACTAGGAAAGAGGACCCAGAAAACTGTATTTTAAGAAGCTCCCTAGTTGATAAGATTATTTGGATATACACATAAGTTTGATACCCACTGGAATAAATGCTTAAAATAAATCTACTGTTCTTTGTCCCGTGATAGAGAACCTTGCCAGTTCTTATCCAATGCTTTTATCTGTGCTTTCCAAATTCACCAGCATTCTGATTGTGGCACCTTTTAAAAATTCCCTCCAAATAAATTGCCCTGTGTTCACTTTTATCCTTCATTACTATGAAAGGCTAAAAATCAGATGCAAATAGGGTTTGGAAACTAACAGCTCACAGGCCAAAGCTGGCCCACAGAGCTATTTCGCTTGGCTTGAGCATCATAATTTTTAGAAACCTGAACTTGAACGTTTTGAGACAGGTCAAGGACTCTCCAGCTTGCCATAGTCGCCAGCAGTCCCTACTGCAACACACCAAACCCACTTTCCTCATTTTGGTTCCCTGCCTGGCGCTTCGAGGCATCTAAGCTCTCAACTCCTCATCTATGGTCCAATTCAGATTTCATGTGCCTGAGACTGTGGACCAGCAAAGTAAATAATTATTGACAAGGTGGTTCCAAAAGAGAATGGAACTTAGAGGTCAGCTAATTTAAATATGCACTTTGAAGATAAGGTACTGAGAGGCCCTGAGAGGAGAAGAGGCTCCCCACATGATGCAATTATCAAGTAGTGGAGATAGTTTGAGCGGCCAAACTTCCACAGACCTCAGCTGGCCTTCCTGGTCATTCCCTCGGTCTCAAAGGAAGTGCTTAAGTAAAAGGAGCAGTTGCAGATTTTGGAATTGTTTTGGGATTTAAACTAGAATAAATCAAATCTTGATAGGGCCAGGGAAAAAAATGATAAAATCCTGCCAAGAATCCATGACATCAAAATTATATGGTATACGTTTACTTCCATAAATTTGGAGAAAGAAATCAAGAGGTACATATAGGCTGACATCTTATCACTCAAAAACTGCAAAAGGAATACATAATCATCAATAGTTTTTGAACCAACACTCCCTCATTCAAATTTTACAAACAAAATTACTGTAGAAAGGTTTGGTAATAAATTCTTGAAACTTGAAAAAAGAAGATTATCTTTCCCTGAAAAATCATCACATTTATTCTTATAAGTCTTCAAACAAAATCTTTTGTCTTATAATTTAATTCTAAAGTTATAATCTTATAAGTTTTAATAGGAACATGAAGACTATCTAGCCAGAGGATATGGCTCTTTGTTTAGCTTCTGTATTTTTAGCATAGAGCAATGGTTTTTATGCTAAAGTGTATATCACAGTGACCTGGGGAGCTGGCTAAAGTGCAGATTTCCAGGCCCTACTCAAGGTTCTGATTGAGTAGGTAAAGATGGGGCCTAATAATTTAGATTTTTAACATGCACCTCCTGGTGATTCTGAAGTAGAAGTCAAAGAAGCCTTCTTTAAGTTATACTGGCTTAGGGAACCTGGGGGCCATTTAATCTAATTTCCCCACTCCACAAATGGGAAAGCTGAGGCCCTGGGAAAGAGAGTTATTTGCCTTTGAAATCCCATGTATTTTACTTATTTATTTATTGTTTGTCAGTCCTTCACCCCCATTAGAATCTAAACTCCATGAGAAGCAGGATTTTCACCCATTCTCTTCTCTGTGCCCATAGCAGTGCCTGTCCTATTGTGCGGTCTCAGTCAATCAATATCCACTGAGCACTACCCCATGCAGGTGTTGTACTAGGCACCTGGGGAAGGCAAGCTAACACACAAGTAATACACAAATATGGGTGTGTTGCTTGGGCTTGGAGTCTAGCAGAGAAGACCAATTAATCACATAAAAACAGATAAATGAACAATTAAGATTGTGATAAGAGCTCTGAGGAGTTCACAGTATTCATGAGAACATAATAGAGGATTTTACCTGAAGGCTTCCCTGAGGAAATGAGTAATAAAATAATAATAATAACAACAGCTATAACTTATTATACCTACTGTTCTAAACACTTTCCGTATGTTAATGCATGTTCTCCAAATGTAATCCACTGAGGTAGGTACTATTATTATCCCCTTTTGCAAATGAAAAAACTGAGGAAGTGAAAGGTTAAGTAACTTGTCCACAGTAGTAAATGTCAGATCTAGGATTTGAACCCAGGCAGTCTGGCCCCAATGTCCACAGTCTCGACTACTGTGCAATACAGCTGCTCAGGAAACTGAGCTCTCAGAAGAAGAAGAATTAAATCTGCAGAGAGTAAAGAACATTCTAGGCTCAGTACTAGTGTGTGCAAAGGGTCTGAGGCAGGAGGGAATACGGTGCACTTGAAAATCTAGAAGGCCAGCATAGCTAGAACTCAGAACAAGGGAAGAGAGATGGCAGGTGAGGCTGAAAAGGAAGGAGGGAGGGAAGGAAGGAAAGAAGGAAGGGAGGGAGGGAGGGAGGGAGGAAGGGAGGGAGGAAGGAAGATAGAAGGAGAAAGGAAAGAAGGAAGGAAGAAAAGGAGGGAAGGAAGGAAGGAAGAGAGGAGAGACGGGATAGAGGACTAAAGCAGGCAGGCAGAGAGGTGGCTGATCAGGTAACAGCCAGATCAGATGAAGGATGGACCCTATGGGCCAGGTTAAAAATCTTAGTTTTTAATCATCCTAAGAACAATGACAAGCTAGTGAAGGTTTTTAAGCAGGGCCAAGGGTGATATGATCAGGTTTGCATTTCAAAAAAACGCGCTTGGCTTCAGTGTGCCAAGTCTACTGAAGAGGGATAGCATCGGAGTAGGAGGCCCAGCTGGGACTGGGGGTAGTGTGAGCATATGGAGAAAAGTAGGCACATTTAAGTGCATTTGGATCATCTCCTCCCAGCCAAGTTTCCCTAAATCCTGTTACTCCCCTTTTCAGTCCAAGCTCACCTTCTCTGACAACGCCTCCTCGAGTGTTGCTAGTGCAGTATCTGTGTTACTGGAATCCGTCTGCAAGGACTTCACTCTGTCCTTCAGATTTGTCAGTTGCTTGTCTTTGTCCCTAAGTTGTTCTTGCAAATTTTCAATCTGAAAATAAACATCACCATGTTTAATGCATATGTTATTCCATATCCAAGGCCAAGACCTGTTTTAAAAAAATAGACCCAAGATTACGGATATTGTCAGTATTACGAGGTTAACACTGACTTAGAATCAAGGCCAGTTTGATGAGACCTTCATTCTTCCAAGTAATTCAACTTTGTGTTTAAATGGCGATATAGATGAGCAGAATATCTCCCTCCATACAAATGCAAGCCCTTCAGACATATAAGCACTATTATCTCTATCAATTTCTATCCCTTTCACCAGTCTTTTAGGTCTCAAGTCCTTAAACCTAACCTTGGTACAGTGAATCAGAGAAACGCATATGCAGGATTTATTCATTCAATGAACAGACATTGGGTCTGTCGGGTGCCCATTCTGCACTAAGTATCATATCAGTATATGGCAGAACCTATGTAGTCATTCACTCACTCCTTTATTCAGAATTAGACTGTGTGATATGCCAAATGTTGTCAAGTGGCTGTTTCAAAGTAACCACATGAAAAGCCAAGTAGGTTATCACCAGTAGACTGTTAATGGGAAGAACTTCTGATATAAATCAAATGCAACAAGTACTAAACACTCCATTTGGCAACTAAGTCATGTGCTGGCAACCAACCAGCCACTTTTATCCACTATCTGCAGCCTGAAATAAACACGCCAAATAGCTGATTATAACGCCTGCCCATGAGCAGCGGCAAGGACCTTCTCCTGGGCATTGCGTACATTATCATTCATGTTTTTATTCTCTGCTTTCAAACCATGTATTTCTTATCTAAAGATTAAAAAAAAAGCCCCACTGTACAAACAATTTATTCGTATTAAGGGTTTTAAAATGACAAGGAAAAAAAGCAGTACAACTCTAAGATAAGTCCATTCAAAATATTTGTATTCTGCACCCAAGCTTTCTCAGGAAATCATTCCAAATGCATGTTTCACAACGTGTGACTCAAACAAATTTTTGGATGACTTTTTTCATTTAGCATGAATCTTGAATGGCAATACAAATAATGACAGTAGTAGCAGCAATAATGAGGAGGAGGAGGAGAGAGTGACAGCAGATGTGGCAACAGTAGCAGCAGCAAAATAGCTCTGAATGCAAAGACAATGACCCTGCTGACTTTCAATCAGCAGGACATGGGACTTGGCTAATTTTTCCAATGGTTACAATGGATGTGGGCTAACAGAGATGGACTTTTTCTCTTTCTTTCCTTCCTTCCTTCCCTCCCTCCCACTTCCCTCCTTCCTTTCTTACTTCCTTCTTCCTTCCTTTTTTGCCAATGCATCTTTTTAACAGAAGACATGTTTTCTGCCTTGAGACAGACACCCTGGAAACTCAGGTTATAGGTCAAATAATTAACCTTCTCCTTCATCAAAATTCAATGTATTCCTACCCAGCTACCACTGTAAGAACTCACTGTCCCTCCATGGAAAACACAGGAACTCAAAAGGCATAATCATCTGCAGTCAAAACAAAGGCTTCCTCCATTCCAGACAAGCGTTCATGTGATTACACAACACCATAAGCAAATATATGAATGCACAAGAATAAGGATGGTTACATGTAAGCATGATAGACATACAGAAGAAACCAGCAGCTAGGAGTACTGACTCTCCACAGAGAGTATGTATTATTATTTCGAGTACATCGACACTCACGGACACATTTGTGTACACATACATATGCAAATCCATGGTGGTTTCAAGCAAACTGGTTAGGCACCCCCTGTCCCCTCTGGGAGACAGTGCCCTGGACAGGACAAAGGGGACTTTTTCCCAGGGCATTGGCCCTGGGGCAGTGGTAGACACAGATTTCAAGGGACTTTGGGCACTGGAAACAGGGGCTAAAGAAGACTGGCTGTGAACCTGTGTAAGACTGCATGGGACCTCCCCAAATAACTGAGAAAACTGAGGAGGTTGAGAGTCAGGGGTCCTATTTGTATGCAGGTAGTAGAAAAGAGCAGGAGAAATGTGGGCTGGTAAGATATGGGGACTACAAGTGACATATCTATTTATCTCACATCTAAGGGCCCAGCAGAAGAGCCAATGGTACCACAGACAAGAATGACTAACAGATATGGAATTGGAGACATTTATAGATCTAAGGATGCACCACTTTAAGAAACGTTGCACAAAGATTGCCAAGAATGATTCTTTTTATTTTTGGTGAGGAAAATTAGCCCTGAGCTAACAGCTGTTGCCAATCCTTTTCTTTTTGTTGAGGAAGATTGGCCCTGGGCTGTGCAGAACGGTTTGGGGGAATATAGTCTCGTATGTAAATAAAAATAAATAAATCTATGGATATATATATTTGGCTATTGAAATAAATTGTTTTTCTGGAAAACAAAATAAGAAATTTTAACAGTGGTTAACTTTGGGGGAAATGGTCTAGGATGCAGAAGGTAGAAGGGAACGTCTGTTTTTCATTTTTATACATTTCTGTAGTTTCCTGCTTAAACTTTCTAACCTTGTGGGTTTATCCTTTTTTTTTTTTTTTTTTTGGTGAGGAAGATTGGCCCTGAGCTAACATCTGCGCCCATCTTCCTCTATTTTGTATAGGGGATGCCGGCACAGCATGGCTTGATGAGCAGTGCGTAGGTCTGCGCCCAGGATCCGAACCTGGGAACCCCGGGCCGCCAAAGCGGATTGTGCAAACTCAACCACTACCCCACTGGGCCAGCCCCACGGTTTTATGTATTTTTAATGCCAACCAGGATTATCTGGTTGGTGAGATTATGGGTTAATTTTAGTTTATATTTGTATATTAAAATAATAAATAAATAAATAACATAAATGCCTACTTAAAACTAAATTGTCCAAGTTACCAGCAATTACAGATTGCTGGTACATTTAAACCATTATGCACATATTTAAAATAATGGTTGCATATCACTGTTAACTAAATGGAAATAGTAGAATGCAAAGAAAAAAAACCAGAATGTAAAATAATATGACATTTCTTTGTAAAAGAAAAAATTCTTGCATAGAACAAAAATATATATAAAAGGAACTCACTAAAATATTATTTGGCAAGGGTTTGTTTGTTTTTTCAAGGACTTGTTACAGGAGGAAACATTCTTTTGTTACTTCAAGGAAGACAATTCTTAAAAGTTAACTTTTAGGTGATGGGACTGAATGTCAAATTGTGTATCTTTAAAAAATATATATTATACAGCTTTCTCATGTTCACAAATTACGACACTTACACGAAGAAGGTGTTTGGAACCTTTTTCTTCAAAGGGTGAGGTTGTACAAGGTTCAAATAGCAGGCATTGGAAAATTAGCAAATTGAAAACCAGGGTTAGGATGGGGAGGTTTGGGGTGGAAAGTGAGGACTTTTTGAGAAATTTCACATGCTGCAAAAAATGGAACCCACCTTAGCAACACAGACAACTCACTGGTCACTGTGACTTGATAAAATAAGAGATGGGCCTGAACACAGGGTTGTCTTTGCCTTTGAACCAAGCTGCCTTTCCATCAGGGCTGGGCGGACTCAGAAGGAGCCAGTTTTTCTGACGCAATACCTGCCCTTCCAGACCAGACCACTGGAGACGGGGTAGGGGTCGGGAAGACCTCAGGCCCTGGAGGTCACCAGAAAGCCCTAATCCTAATGGCTTCAAGCTGACTTCTGAAGCTCCAGGCCTGCTAAGCCTGAGGAGGGCCAATGCCCAGAGGGAGCTTTTGCGTGAGTTTTCACACAGGTGCAGCCCCCAGTGTGAGAGTGATCATTGACTAAACAGCTGCAGCCTCTGTGACTCCACCTTTGCTTCCTCTCCCATTTGGTCTCCAAGCTGCAGCCCGAGTAACTTTCCTATAACGCAGATCTGACTGTATGACTTCCTGTCTTAGAACTCTTCAGTGACTCCCCATTGCCCTCCAGATGAAGCCCAAACTCCCTGACATCTTACATGAGGCCCTCCATGAGAAGGCCCACCTGAACTTCCCCTATCCTGCAGCCAAGCTGCAGCCTTGCCAAACCACTCCTGCTACCTCCCAGGACCAGGCTCTCTTAAAACCTCCCCATCTTTGCCTAGCCATTTCCTTTGCTTGGAACATTCTTCCCACCCCAATTTTTTACCTATGTCCCACTCAAACCTTTAGATATCAACATATTCCACCTCCAGGAAGACTTCTCTGACCCCCACAAGCCCAAGCTAAGTCTCCTACTGTGCACTTTTCACATACTTGTAAAATCGTCTGTCTCCCTCTCTCTCTCCACAACATGGCTGTGAGCTCCATTAACACAAGAGCTCTGTCATACTCACTGTTGTATTTCTGGCCACAGCACCCAAGTGGGTTGGCAATACCACACGTTTACTTATTGAATGAATGAAAGAAGGAAAGAAGGAACCCTAAAGAGAGTGTCTTGTATAAAAGAGGAGACTGGAGCAGGTGATAGCTGAGTCCCTTCAGCTCTGGGATTCTACAAAGAAGTTAAGAGCAATGGAGAAGGTCTACATATAGCCACAGAGTACCTAAAATACCCTTAGGCATATTTATGCTTTCAAATGTTACTCAAAGGTATCTTTTTGGTTGTTTTCTTTATAGAGTTCTGTAATTCACTTACTAAAAAAATTTCTTTTGTCCATAACACATATCTCTGTATTTTGTGTTATCCACGTCTAGGATATCAGTCAAAATTATTAGCTGAATCAACAGAAACAACTCAGTCTGGTTTAAGCAGAAAAGGAGAGAGATTCACAAAACCACCAGAAAGGCTGGAGAACCAGTGTCAGGGAAAATAGCCTGGAACAACATCCAAAGTTTTGGTGCTGTTGCCCCAGCTGCTAAATACCAGAAACTGAGGCTTACAGCACCAACCCAGCTGCAACTGACCATTGGACACCACCACTAACCCCTCAGTTGTGCAGCCCCATGGGCTTGACCTTGCAATCACTGCAGTAGAGAGTCCTTCACATTCCCAACGTCCCAACGACTCTGGGGCAAATACATCTAATGAGCAGAGCCAAGGTAAGGCACACAGC